TCATTAACTGCAGCAGGAGGCTTTACAGCTTTCATACGTTTGAGCCCTGGCAGCTTGGGTCTTTCTCTATCTGGAAGGAAAAGACTCAGTTGAGTAAAAATCTCTTATATGCCACAGACTAGACATGATTATGATACAGACACAGGAAAAACATGCGGCCAGAACTTGGCAAAGGCTAGCCAAATAATATGTGCAAAGCAGTCAAAGAATATGTGCAAAAGTACCCCCTCTACTTCCCATCCTCTGGGAGGGAGAGAAGCATGGAGCAAGAGAGGTCAGGTCAGCCCCTCACCAAAGCAGCTGGTGAGCTACAGGCCACTGACCAGCTGCTCGCAGACACTGGGGCACCCGGAGCCATATCTCACAGCACACGCTCCCTCATCGCTTGAACACAGGGCAGACTTAGCCATGGCCAGGCCTTCAACAGGTAGATGGAAATGGAGGAGATGAGAGACCCCTGGGTGAGCGCTTGCCTGCAGAACAGCACCAATGGGCATGAGCACTCACTGCAACTCCTCTATCAGCCACTCCCTCCTGCCTCTCACTTGCACAAAGTAGGAGTGGACACCTGTGTTTACAGCAGGGCTCAGGCACAGCTGTAACTCAGATTTGTATATTCACTGAAAACTCAGAAAAAATGTAAATTGAAACCTAAGTCTCTGCCATGTCTCTCAAGTACAACATCTGAGTTTCACTTCACTTTACTCACTACTTCCATCGCTTTCTAGAACTACAAAACACAGCAGGAAAAGGAGCCCAAGAAGAGACATCTATTCCATGAACCACCCAGTTCACGTGTGATGCCTCTAGTGTTGCGGCACTTAGCACTCAAATGCAGGAATCACTTCTGTCCACAAGAGAAGGCACTGGACTCCTCACACACTCACCTTAGGGGTGACAGCAGGGTCTGCTCCCTTTGCTCCCTGCAGATCACGTCTTGGTGTTGAGAGGACAGGGTCTCCAGGCTGATGAGCTACACGTGCCAAACACTATGCAACAGCTGGCTCTGAGCTAGGGTGGAAACTCCTCCCACCAACAGAGAGTAACTGTGCAAGGATCGCAAAAGGGAAGAGGGAAGAGAGCATAGGGGAGGACAGAAGGACAGACAGATGGAAGGAAGGATCACTGAAGTTAATACAGGAGAGACACTGTCTGCCCTGCACAGTCTGAACCACCCCCTCTGCCCAGAAAGTGTGATGCCTAACAAATGTGCAGGGCAATTGGAAGCAGAAGGGAAAGCACCAGCCATCCCCAGGCAGTGAGTAGCTAACAGGAACCGTAAGTCTCTGCACACAGCTGAAGAGGACACAGCCCACTAGGCTAGGGTAGGAAGGGCCTGAGACTGCAAAAAACTCATTGTCTAGATAGTCCAAGTCCAATGCACATGTGATTACGCTGGTATTAATGCTGTCAGCAGCTCCAAGTACTTTGAGTAATTTGGATCTCTCAAATTTCAGGTATTTCTGTGCTAGAGAAAGATCCCCTTGATTACAATATTCAGTTTAAATAAGACAATCAGGTCTCACTAAACCACACCCAGACAAGTCACACTCTTGGCTCCCTCTCTGTGGCTGATAGAAAGCCATACAGTGATACATACTCACATGAACAAGGACTGTTTTCATCCCTTTCTTCACGTTCCTCAGGATTGTCCCTCTCATCTGTAAGGATCAAACTTACATGTTGAACGCTTGGTACTGTGATCCAAACTTAAGGCAAGTCAAGTAAAAAGCAGACAAATACACTTAAAACATTTGCAGGAAGAGGTGGAAGAATTGATACCCAGCATATCACCCAATTCCCTATAGCTCATCCCTTACTAAGTAAAAGTAAGGCTCAGGAGCACATAACTGAAGATAATGGCTCTGAGGTGTGTCTCACTGCTCTGAACCATGGACAATATTCTACCCACTGATCTTGTATTTTTGAGTCTCTTCATGCACACATCCCCCCACCCCCAAGAATGCACCCTCCCCCTAATTCTCTTTTCTCTCTGACCTTTCCTCTCCTCTGTTTAGCTTAAAGCCTTTCAAATCACTACCCACTCCTTCCTTACATATGGGATAAACTACTTTTTGTCTCCATTAGCTATGTGCTGGACCAACTTTGCATTTGAACTGCAAAGCACCTCTAGGCAATAACAGCTTCTTGTCAGAGAAGATCATCATCTTTCATCCTTCAGGCCACACAGACCCACTCTCTCCTCACCTTATGCATTGCTCCAGGGACCCATGATTCTCATTCCCAGCTTGCCCCCATTTGGGTGTGAGCTACTTAAAACTGCCAAACCAGATGATCTTCCATTTGGATTAAAATCTCACACAGGCCTCGGAGCTAACAGGGAGCTCCTGAGCAGCAGCAGCACAGCTTCATGCATACTGCACAACACTGCCATGGTTGAGCCCAGTTAAATGCTTACCCACACAGCTCCAACAGTGACACTCTGTTGGGGCTTGGGGATGTCACATCATGTTCAGGCTACGGTGACTGACTCAGGAGTAAACATGGGTTCCCCCTCACTGCCTGCACTCACCAACACTGTGCTCCTGATAGCATATGTCCATACTTTCTGTATGATGTGTCTAAATATTTTGATGGTTTTAATATTTTATACCAGTCATGGAAACTGGTTTGCTGCTAGATGACTGTAAAAGTGAGATTTGGTAAATAATTATTAGAAATCTTATACTAACACTATGAAACAATAGACAAAAGTATAGCCAAGCAATTAACTAGTAGAGGTAGTTACTCATAAGTTTTGCAGTTCTTTGCTCTTACGACTAGATGTTCCTGTACAATAGATGAGAACAATGTTGAAACTGAGCACATGTCATTGAAACTGCATTAAGCTCTAAGATCAAAGAACAAGGACAAGAACAAAGACTTCAAGGACAGCCAACAGAATCTCAAATGGGTCAGTGGTCATAAAAGCAGCCCTTCGACTCAAATGAATTCGTCATTGCGCATGATCAGATGTAGACAGTACTATGATAATCAGTTACAATAATTTCTATGTATATGTATACCAATCTGATTAATATGTAATTGTTACTCCATATAACCTGTTTTTGCTGAAGCTGTGGCATGCACACTAGGTGGAATTATCCTCCGTGCATCCAGCGCTGCAATAAAGAATGCCTGCTTTCTAAAACTCCAAAACAAGTCTTAGAGAGCTTCTTCGACCGGCTTTTTGGTATCACTCCCAGAAGTGACCAAAAGCAGATGAGCCCCACCAGGCAGAGATATGAGGCCCTGTTTTACCAGCCAATGTCCCACCTCCAAATGACAAAACCAGCAGACCATGCAAACAGGAAACTGTCAGCTGCTGGGACCTCCTAAGGCCTTGCCGCAAGTCCACCCCGCAGAGATACAGGACCAGCTCGGACACTTCCAGCACAGGACCTTGGCAGCAGGCAGGGCTGAAAGTCCTCCTATCAATGTGGAAAAGCCTCAGGCAGTCAGTCCCTGCAGAGCCATGTGCCACCACCGGCACTGATGGCAGTGTAAAGCTGCAGCCTGCTAGTCTTAACCTAACTCATAGTAGAAACTACGCTGTCAGGTATTCCCTGAAATGCAGAGAACTGGATCTACACATGAAGGACTATTTAAATAGGGTTTCTGTATTCTGAAAGTGTTGAATAGGATATCTTACCTGACCTGTCTTTGTGCTTCTGAAAATGCCATATCAGCGCAAGCAAGACAGTAATAGCTACAACTCCTACTGATACTGTGAGAATATAGAAGAGTACACAAACGGCATTTCTTCCAAATGTTTCCTTTTGCTCTACACAGAAAATTCAGTTGTAAAAAACACTTACTGTACCTTCATCCTGCTGTACTGTTAGCTTTATTGATCTTTACTTTTGTAACATCCCGTAAGTACATTATTGTCAGAAAGCTGACTTCTAAAATTAAAGGTTACCTTCTTTATTTTCTCTAAGGATTTTAGAACCAAAGGGCCTCTTTTCACAAGGCATATGTGGGAGCCTGTAACCCATGACACTGGGACAGACTTCAGCCAACGGCCTGACTCACTGCCTGTTCTTTCTGCCTCGCACCACCAACTGAGAAGCCTGTAAGGTGAGATAAGAATAGCTAGTGAGATATATTCACGCACTAGGCATTTTAGTATCACTGCGTGATACTCAGGTATACTATTAAGTCTCTCTATATCATTCTGGTTGGGTTTCTGTATCACAGAAAAATCCAAACAGTACATCAGTCTTATGTTCCAGGGAAGCACATGCAGCACTGAAGCAGTGCTCATGCCATTTCATTGGGAAGCTAAGATGTCACTGCCCAGAGCTGCACTGGCCCATGAATGCAAGAGTCTGTTGGCATTAAAAGAAGAGGAAAGCAGGAAATGTAAATTACTTTTGTACAGTAATTGTTTTTCTCTCTTAAATGTGTCCCTTGGACAGTAAAAAGGCTAATTTTAGCCAACGCAAAAAGTTGTGTCAATGTAAATACACTAGTTAAACCTCTTACACTGTGAAATTTAGAACAAAACTAGAATTGTAGGCAGCATTTAATTAAAAGTTTCTGAGTTTCCCCACCATGGTAACCCTTGCAGATGTGACAGTGGATCTTTTCCCAATTTGGAGAATACTCAAATTCACCAGAAAGTTCTTCTGAAACATCTAAACCAGCAATCACCTGAACAAAGGTTATTGCATTTACTGGATCAAAAAAAGTCATTTTTCTATCACAGTTCATAGTATTTTCAAAATATATTGGCATAACAAACTAGAAAGAAAATGACACTGTCTGCCAGCCTAGGTCTTCGGCTGGAGCAGTCATACTGGCACAAGAATGCCCAGCTTTACCCAACAAGGATTACCCTAGCTAATCTTTGTTTCATCCATCTGTTAATTAGCTAATGGCTAGTGCATTTGGGGCAGTCTCTTACATAGTCTCATCTGGGTTTGTGTACTGCATCTGGATTTAAAAAAACCCCACCTTTGCTTAACTGAGAACCAGCATTTTTAAGTGATACTCACCAGCTTTCACATTAGCAATGCCTTCATATATGGTTCTCCCATCTCTGTCGTTCACTTCTGTAGAATATCTGCCACAGTCACATTCCTGAATCCCGTCTAGTCTAAGACTGTAATCAGACACATTCTCAGACCTGTTAACATATTCCTCATAGCACCAAAACCAAGAACCTTTTGTCCAAGCAATTTCTGTGTTTTCTCTTTTTCCAGACTACCTGGAAGAAATGTTTCAGCTTTGTCTCTATTAGATTCAAGAACACAGATCCACCAATAAGTTCCGTGATTTCTTTAAATGTTTCTGCTCCTGAGGGGAGAAAAACATATCTGCTTATTATTGGGATATTTTACATTCCACAGAGAGCAGCCACAAGCAGGAATATTCCTTGTATCTCTTGTTGATTGGAATGTTCTTCCTTTGCTATAGTTATTTGAAATACCAGGCTGAAACCAATACAGAGAGATTCACTATAAGAGTGCTCCAATATCTTAATTTGTAGTAATATAGCTTTTTTCCATTTTAATAATGTTTCTTCCATTCCATGTGCTTACACAGGTTTTCCCCACTACAAGGTGGGCAAGCTATAAGTTAACAGGACTCTACTCAGCCTTAAAACATTCATGGAATGTTTGAGCAGGTGATCAAAGGGAAAGAAGATCTAACAATAGTTGTTGATAAGGCAACGGAAGACTGCTTCGCATGCCATGCGTTCAAGTCCACCGAGTTGAAAGCGGGCCAGGGTTGAACGCATCAAATGGCCCAAACTGCTCGTCCTTCGGAACCACCAAAGGGGTGGATGAGGAAGAGAGCTGTGAAACGGGGGCAGTTCCTATGGTTCCAGTGGCTGTTCTACCTGGATAGGGGGAAACTGGCCAGTATTATCCTGGACGATGTGGAATCCCTGAAGTGTGGTATCCCACAAGACAAGATACACGAAGTGTTCAAGTCAAGATGGGAGTCACCAGGAACATTCAAGGGCCTGGCTGTGTTTAGATCCAGGGGCCAGGCGGACAACTTGGCATTCAAAGCCATGATTACGGTGAAAGAAATCTCTAAAAATATCAGAGATGAATAAGAACAGCGTGCCAGGACCAGACAGACTAAGTCTGCAGGATATCATTAAGGCAGACCCCCATTTTGTCCAGTTAATGGAAATATTCAATCTATGGTTGGTGACTGGCATTGTACCGGACATGGTGAAAGAATGTCGGACTGTGTTAACATCGAAATCATCTCTGCCGGAGCGCCATATGGACATCAATAACTGGCGACCAATTACCATCGGATCAATTATCTTGAGGTTATTCTCAAGGATTTTGATGGCAAGACTGGCTAAGGCATGCCCTATTAATCCATGACAAAAGGGCTTTATTAGATCAGCGGGATGTGCAGAAAATTTGAAGTTATTACAACTATTGATTAAGAACGCAAAAAAGGAACATCGACCCTTGGGCGTAGTCTTCATTGACCTGGCTAAAGCCTTCGACACCGTGAGCTATTGTCATCTTATTGCAGTGCTTAAGCAAAAGGGTGTAGACCATCATATTATCACCCTGATTACGAACCTGTATCAAAATATCAAAACTCGCATTACTATGAAGAATGAACAGTCAGATCCTATTGGGATTAAAATTGGTGTTAAACAAGGTGTCCCAATGTCACCTTTACTACTTAACTTATCTGTGGACCCCCTGTTGTGTAAGTTAGAAGAATGCAGCAATGGATACCAACATGGTTCAAAACGCATAACATCTATGGCTTTTGCAGACGATCTGGTATTGTTAAGTGGATCATGGGAAGGAATGCAAAGTAATATCAGGGTCCTAGAGGCCTTTTGTGATCTAACTGGCCTCAGGACTCAGGGGGAGAAATGCCATGGTTTTTATATACAACCTACTAAGGACTCATATACAATCAATGACTGTCCTCCATGGCAAATTAATGGTACCCCACTCAATATGATTGAACCCGGTAGTTCGGAAAAATACCTGGGACTGAGAATAGACCCATGGACTGGAATATCTAAACCCAAACTACTGATGAAAGTAAGAGACTGGTTACAACGGATTGATGAAGCGCCACTGAAACCATTTCAGAAAGTAGACATCCTGAAGGGATATACTATCCCACGATTGATTTACTTAGCAGACCAAGCTGATGTAAAAGCAACGTAACTAGAAGCACTTGACCTGACGATTCGAACTACAGTCAAGGAGTGGTTACATCTACCTCCTAGTACCTGCGATGCCATAACTTTATTCCAGTACACGTGATGGAGGTTTAGGCATCACGAGACTCTCGGGTTTGATCCCCAGTATACAAGCTCCAAGACTACACAAGATTGCGCAGTCTTCGGATGATGTAATAAGATCAATAGCTAAACAAGAGGGGATTGAAAAAGAATTTGAAAAAGTGTGGTTAACAGCTGGAGGCAATAAAAATAAAATACCATCTATTTGGGAGCCAAGCATGATTAGGGTAACATCTGAGGAACTGGGCGATAATGAACTTGCTTCAGAATGGGAAGTACCAGCTCCCAAAACCATCTTTCCTAAACCTTGTGACTGGCGTAAACAGGAATTTATAAATTGGACCAAGTTACAGTCCCAGGGCTGTGGTATTGCCAACTTTGAGAAGGATAAAATCAGTAATAATTGGATCGAACGATATAGGGGCATTCCTCACCGAAAACTCCTCACGGCACTACAATTAAGAGCTAACGTGTATCCCACTAGGGAATTCCTGGCAAGGGGGAGACAGGACTCGCAAATAAAATCTTGTTGACACTGTCAAGCAGAAAATGAAACAAGTGCTCATATCATTGGGTAGTGCCCCATGGTGCAAGAGGCCAGAATTAAGAGACACAACCAATTATGTGATTTAAGAATAATTGAAGTTAAAAAGGATTGGATCGTATTCCAAGAGCTTATACTAAAAGATGAATGCAATGAAATATACAAGCCTGATCTAGTATTTGTAAAAGGAGACCAGGCAAAGGTTATCGATGTAACAATTCGATACAGAAGTAAATTGTCATCACTGGCAGACGCAGCAGCAGAAAAAGTAAAGAAATGTTGTCATCTTAAAAATCAAATTCAGGAATTAACAAATGATAAAAATATTAAATTTAAGGGATTCCCTGTGGGTGCACGAGGAAATTCCGGCAACTACAAAGTGTTAAAAGCATTAGGAATCTCAAATTCCCAACAAGAAAAAATTGCGCCATGTATTTCAAAGAAAGCTTTATTTACATCAGCTGATTTTGTACATATGTTTGCAAGTCATTCGAGATCTATTATAAGAACTTAACTATCTGTTGCTGTTTTGTCTTTTTATTGCTTTTGCTGTATTACTACTTATTTCTTTAATAAAGTCACCTCTACCCTGCTGCCACAGCATCTAGGGTACCACTAACCTGACTCACAACGTTTAGAGGTAGGGATATCCATGGGTAAAACCTGGGAAGGATCGACCTTGACACTGGAAAGGTTGGGATAGTAAAAGGAACTCGTGATCATGACGCATCATATTAACCTAATGTTTTATCCAAATTTAATTGGAAATGTCAAAATTTTACCAACTTGGACTATCATTATCAGATTTGACATAGGTGGATGGGCCACCTTTACTTAACTTGGAAAAGAAACATATATAATTTATATGTGTTTGTTAATAATATAGTTTTTTCCATTTTAATAATGTTTCTTCCATTCCATGTGCTTACACAGGTTTTCCCCACTACAAGGTGGGCAAGTTATAAGTTAACAGGACTCTACCCAGCCTTAAAACATTCATGAGTGCTGTCTGCACAAGACTTGTGTAAATTGAGGGCAGCCCGTTCACACCTTCTATCTCCATTACGGTCTCTGCTCTTACTGCAGCTCACATACATACCTCAGGTAGTGGTAAAATACCATTCCCAGAACGTTGCAGCAGCAACAGCACAGAGCTTAAGGTGAGCTGCAAAACCTCTTGGGTAGGTGGGCACCACTTAGCTCACACTGACCTTTGGGTCTGCATGGGTAAAAGGTCACTGGTACCCACAGGAGCTAACCCTGCACCTGTGAGTAAATTGCTTTATGCCAGCTTGAAACTGTACCCCACATGCACCCTCAAACCACACTCACTCCCACCTTCCTCCAAACAAGAGATAAGGGTAGAAAAATTAAGGAGGGCCATCGTGTGTGCTAAAAAGAGCAAAGGGAACTTGAGGAAGGACGCACACAGATTTAGAGCTAGAGCACTCCTTCAAAAAACTGGACATGGAACCGCTCATGCCTCTCTGTTCAGAGTTTGGTTTTACATCACACCAAAGAGTGCGAGAGACTGAAAGAGTTAATGTCTCAAACATTGTGGTGGGGCAAGTTCTGCTTAAAGGCAAACCCTGCACAGCAAGGAGCCAAGATGAAAAGCCCATCAGCTCAGACATCAGCAACAGCAGGGGGGGTGTGCTGGAGGGTGCGCAGCTCGCTGTTCTGATACAAAGATCAAATGATGGCCATGTCTGCAGGGAAGGACAAGTTACTCCCCAAACGACCCCCAAGCCCAAAGGCTCACGAACTGCTCATTAACCTGTCGAGTTCGGGTGCCCGCCCAAAGGAGGGGCAAGGATGATAAAAGGACACAAACTGAAGCCCCGGGTGCGCAAGCCCACCGGGACTGGACCCATCGGCTGACTGGACCAATGCTAGACTCAGGACTGGTGAAATCTTTCTCTCTTCCTTTTTCTCTCTGTCTTCTTCTCTCTTTCCTTTTACTTTTCCACAATCCCTACACCTCATCCCTTTAAGACATAAAACCGTTGACCAAGTCTGGGACTAAGAGTGGATCCAGCAGCCCCTGGGCCCTTCTCTGAGGAGGAGTCTAGAAAGCAAGGGGGTCTGCTCTGAACCTCCTGACTCAACAGGAGGGATCTCCTTATTCCCTGAATTGATGTATATGGTTACCCTGGGTTACATGGTTTACAGAAGTAGTCTTATGCCAATGCCTGTTGTGAGAAACCCACCACCTACTATCACACCTCCCCAGTTCAGTTTGCTTCTGTCATGAATAAAATCTTTAACTGATCATTTGGTGTCGTTTCACCTTAATTTAGCCCGAGGGAATTTCGAATTAAATACAACTCCCTGGTCTGTCTGGTCTGGGTTGTGACAAAGGGCCAGGCCTTCTTGTGGACCATTGCACTTTGATGAAGGCTTAAAATACAGGACTTCCCCAAATTAATTTCTAAAAGACTGCTTTAGCAATGCAAGAACCACCCTCAGGCACACAATTGCCCCAAGCAGTCATTCCAGACATTAACCTGCACATATAAAGACCCTCTCC